TTGGCACTGACAAGATACACATGTTACCAAAAGGCCAAAGAGTCAATATATTATTAAAAATTAAAAATAAGGGTCAGGGTTGAAATATTTGGTCATCTTAATGCTTTGCATTTCTATGCATGAAAGATTCTGTTAATTTTTACAGTAAGGTGCATTATCAATTGAAGGACTATGTATAAATATAGTATAATGTATGCAATAGTTAATAAATTTTTAATAATTTATGAATGGAAAACTTATTTTAAGACTGAGACTAGTTTTGAACTGTGTACTAACATCACTTACATTTCATGCATTAATGGCTGTTTTTAATATTTGCACTTATATAAGCCTGAATGAGAGTGCAAGTCAGGTTTTGTTCCCCAAATTAAGTGCCAATCTGCCTAAGAATCAGGCAGTGGTGAAAACATGACAAACGAAAAACCACTTAGGTTGACATTAATCTATGTTCAAAGTGTATAATGGTGCATGAATATAACATTTGTTTCCTTTTCCTGTTCTGGTAATTCAAGATATAATTTGGTTGAAATGCACTAGAAATTTACAATTAAGGGGAGCTAACTCCGTAATTTGCTATCATTCTATCCAAAAGTTATCTAGAGATTTCACGAATTACCAGACACACAGAAACGAAAGACCTACTATTTCTAACTCGGGATGAAAGTAATTTCAAAATAGGATGGTTAGGTTGGTGGGTTTTTTTCAGCCATGTTTTGATTTTTTTCGAAATTGCCTGATTCTTACAAAGACTGGCACTTAAGTAATATTATATCAAGTGTTTAACTTTACCAGGATAAAGCTTGAATCGATTACTTGTTGTTTGGTAAATTCTTAGTACATTAAACATGTTAAAATGCATCTTGAAGCCTTAAACAACATAAATCGCAGAAGTTTTCACATTTAAAAATTTATTTTAGAAATATTTTTTAATTTCTGCATATTTTTTTTTGAGGGGGGGGGATTAATTGAGATGTGGGCCCTTCAATTTTACAAAATCTTTTTGACAATTAAGATTTTAAGTACTTTCATACCTATATTAGTCTTGAGAGTAGACATCATATAATTTAAGTACAGCATATCATATTTTAAAGCAACTTAAATTTGAATGACTTGGATGAGTTGACTTAACTGTTTGTATAAAATATATGACTTGACACAATTTAATAGACAATACACAATGTTAAACCAATAAACCAAATTAAACATATCTAGATGGTCAATAGGTTAAAGCTTTTATGTAACTTTGATTATTGATCATATTGATTAGAGATTATTGTATTTATTAGAGATTAGTTATTCAAACATTGACATTAATATATTGCTACTATGAGGGTCCTAACAATGATATGGTCATGATTTGTCATGGTTAGATAATACTATTTGTACTTCTAATAATGTTAACAATATACATGTATTTTTGTTCAACTCTGATAACTTTCAGTATCTTTGATACTATATGTATATATATAGCATGTATATCATACATATATTAATTGTGTAAAATGACAAACAGTAAAAAAGTGGCAAAAAAATTGATGACACAATCAATTTTTATGCCCCTGCCGCTAGGTGAAGGGGACATAAAGTGTTACCCTTGACAGAGTTCTTTGAATAATTTTGCAAAGGGCCGACAAATTTTGGTATTTCAAAATAGAAATAATAGTGAGGACCAGCAGATTTTCTTCAAGGACTACCAGGGAAAATAAGATTTCAAGAACTCTGCCTTGAGTGTCTTCCAATCCATCCCTCTGTCTGTCCAAAAGTATTTTTCACATATTATTAGCAAGCTCGAGAGGACGCATTAATGTCCACAGACACATTCTTCTTTTAAATTTATATTTCTGAAAACTTGCTGAAGAATAATAACTAACCAATTGTGTTTGGCCATTGTTATCTACATTTTAACTCGTTTTTTCTTTATCAAAATTGTAGTAAAGTAGTATATATTATAAACAAATATTTTAAATATATTAAAAAAAATAAACTATACTTCTAAATATACCAAGAAAAAATAAACCATTAGGTGCAATATGTTTACCCTACAAAATCTTGAAATATAAACAGTGAAACAGTATTGTTGCTGTCTGATTTGGAGTGATCAGGGCTTAATTACAGTCATAAAACTTTACTTAGTACTCAAAAGTACAAAGCTTGTGCTTGAAACAACAAATCTAGTATTTTGATAGATTGATTTCTGATTCTGAGTACGATAATCGTACTGGAAAGTCTTATTCTGCTTTAAGACATTGTAAATTATAAAAAATCTTCTAGATTCTAGTGCAAAACATAAATATATAGGTATCATATAAGTTTTGGTCAAATTAACATGTGTAATGGGAGATAACTCTGCTTTGTTTAAAAACCAAAAAAAAACATTTATGGAAGATAAAAAAAATTATGGAAACAGTTTTGCAAAAAAAAAAAAAAAATAGTCAAAAGGACTGGTCAATATAAGTTTAAAATTGACTAAACATGTTCATGTTGTTAAAAATGAATATTTTTTATGAGGCTTAATATTGAGTCAGTTTTACTGTCAAAACACTATAATGTTTTTAAAATCTTTTATGAAGAGCAACAATTGAAGATCAGAGCTAGTAAGAACCAGAAAAAATATTCTGTTGCATTTTAATGGTACCTGTAGATGGACACAAACACAGAAAAAAGATTACCATGAAAAAAATCTGAATATCAGGATTGAGTATTAACACTTTTTATACAGAGCTAAATATTTTTTCTGTCTAATGGAAATTACCTAAAAAATGTGGTGCACACGTTAAATAACAAGCTATGCAGGTTATTCAGTGTGCACCACATTTTTGACATTATTTCTTCATAGACAGAAAAAATATTACAGTATCCCTTCCTTAAATGTTCCCAAATCAATCCAAGTCTTCTACATGTACATGTATACATGCACTTGCATAAGGTTGATTTCTATCCGATGCAGCTCATATATAAATATAAACAATATATGTATGTATGTAAATTAAAATAATCATTAATCAATATTTAAAAATATATATAAATATATTGTATTATTAAAATTATTGACACTGACGAAGGCTATTTGTTCAGCCAAAATAATTGTCAACATGATTTTATAACATCATCTTTATATATTACTACTTTATATTACATGTAGTACTGTTGCAAGATAAGTCTTAGGACTTTTACATAATATATACTGTGGATTAATTTATTTTCGTAGGTACCAAGTTTGGTGGATTGAAGAATACTTGCATTCGTGGATATTTAATTAATTTTGTGGTTTTGCCAAAGTTTAAATAAATTTTTTTCCCCTTATAAGCATTTAAATTCCTGTACCAAATGAAATCTATGAAAATTGGTTTCCAACAAATAAAAATGAATCCAGTACAGTAAGCAAGTTTAAAAAAAATCATTAATCAATATTTAAAGATATAACTTTCCTAATTATTCTCAATTGACTAAGCATGATGTTCCATCCAATTTAATCCTTTTAAATCTCTTATTTCTGGTCATTGTTCAGACATTGCGGCTTTTGTCTTTCGGTGAAATATAAATCTGTCCACGCATTAAACATTGGATATGGAAAGTGTTTGACTTAAATCGCATGTATAGTGACTGGTCGTTCAATAACTTAACGCTTTGTTGTGTTTCACCGGTGATTAAGGTTATTTTATGGAATAAACAGTTACTTGTTTAAAATTCTATACTGTAAAATATTAAATGTCATGGATTCACGGAATTCTACCTTGGAGAAAAATACAGGAAAAGTTAAATTGTAAAGTTTTGTGTTCATCTTTTAGATTGGAGATATTTCAAAAGGATTTTATTTAAATTTTTATTTTTGAAGCATTCTTGTAATAAAAAGGTAATGTATATAGGTAAACTGATTTTTCAACTACATTTGTACTTTCAAATCTGTTTATGTGCTTTTAAAAAAAATTTCAAGAGAAACAAAAGAAATTTACTACATATTTATAGTCATTTTCTGAATAATCACAATCCATCATCAAAATTACTCATGAGCGTATCTAAAAAATCAGAAATATTTATATATATATAGATACAGTCCATGGAGCCAAGGAAGTATTACTTTGCTATAGGCTTGTATACAAACTTTTGCAAAACCACAAATTCAAATATCCACGAAAATACATTTTTTGAAAAATTGGTACACATGAGAACAAATGTATCTACAGTAACACAAGATGGCTTCATTTTATATATCCTGCAAACCCAAACTGAGTCCTTAAACTTCAGCATGGGTTTAATTTTACATTCACTTTTACTGCTGGGACGTGAAAAGTCCATGCAGGGATGACCATATTTCTATACACCATGCAGTCAACCCTTGGGGTAAACAAGTAATGGGACCACCACAAAATACAAATGGAAAGAGCTTTTGGACACAAAACTTAGTATTTATCAAGTATTAACAAATAAACACTTCCAATACACTTGCTTGAAAATCTGTGTCTATAAATTAAACATTTCTCACATGTCTTGTGCATTATATTCCCATCTCATATAAAAGTATCAAAAATCAGTTTGTTGTGAATATTCTCAGGTGAATGCTGGTGATTGTGAGTGATGAATTGTGAAATATTGCTCAGTACATAACAAATGTAACAGAGTCACAAATTATGAGTGGTTCACCTCAAATCACTAGCAATCACCTTGTTTCATATTGAAACATCAACACCTGAAGTGATTTTTGGCTATATTAGTTAAATTACTTTGTGTGTACTGCAGTTTCATGAATGGTACAAACATAATTAAATATAAATTGATCATGAAGTAATTAACTTAAATTTGTTTTCTAATGTTGTTTGGTTTCTGTCTCATTGATATTTACCCAACAACTACTTTTCAGCTTAAATTCTAACATGTGCCTTTCATTATTTCTCAGCAGTAAGCATGAATATATGTATACAATTGTAGGGGTTTTGAAATCATTGCTCTTTGCACCAATATCAACTCATAATTTAAAAGTTTTTAATTCTATATCTTTTCAGGTTATGAATCAGACTCCTCTACTCAAGGACAAAGTGAGAAACCTTTAGATACGCCTGTTGTTAAGAATGAGGACAAACGAACAGTCTTATCTGACATTAAACAGGATTGCAAACCAGTAGCCTCCCCTATTTCACCCTTAGCTGTTCAATCTATATCAGAATCAATGACCAACATGCAAGTTACATCCAAATCTAAAACAGTTTCTTCCAAAGGAAATAAAACTAAAAGCAAATCAGGGAATCAAAGTGGTGCTAAAAACTTAAAAAAGATTACCGTCAGCGACCCAAGGAAAGGAAATAACAGAAACGAACTAAAATCTACGGAAAGTTTAAGATGGGAAAATGCTGTCTCTGATAGTGATGAGGAAAAAGAAAGAATTAAGCTCTATAAAATAAATCGAAGAAAAAGATATTTAGCGTATGCTCAAGCTCAAGGACTTGGTTGGACTTCTAAATATCAAAGCAATGGGTCTCCATTGTCAGAGGATTCTGGGATCGAGACAAGGGAACAGGAACGTCTTTCAATTCGTGATACTCATCCTTCACCAGTGGCCATTGCTGATTTTTCCTCTTTAAAAAAGCTAGCACCTAGTCAGACAATGACTTCCAGTAATATGGTGGAATGTTGATATATCTACTGCATGTTTTATCTTATCAGCTATTTATATTCTTACTTAAGCTACTGAATGATGGAGACTATTTGATTGTTTTTTCTTGGCTTGTATAGAATCTCATCGTGAGTTACAAAGTTTTTTTGAAGAAAGGAATGTTACAATCTACCTCAGATTATATTATTTTTGATTGGAGTTTTTAAGATATAGATCTGTTGTTTTGGGTTATTTTTCTTTGTTTTTTGTGGTTAATTTATTTTTGCAGGCCAAACAGAAAGGATTGAAGAGTACACTACATTAGTGATGGCTTTGTGTGAATTTGATTTGACTGCCTTTTTCACTGCCCTAAATTTTGATTTCGCTGAAAAAGGCTTTGAAAGGTCAATTCATACAATTTCAGTGAAACATACATGTACTTTTAAATTATTGTCCATGTTAAAATTTTTTTTATATATATTTTTATATAAGACAAAAAAACATAAAAGGAGCTTTCCATTTGACAAGAACTTTTTCATTATCTTCCTCAAAGACAAATTTCCTCTTCAAAGCTGAAAACCACTTATTTGCCAAAAAACTTTCATATAGTGATTCTTAATTTTACAAAATTTTAATAACTGATATTTATTAGAATTTTGGGCTTTGAAACCAAGTATTCATTTTCCGAAATTCAGCAAATGTGGATTGTCTCACATTTTTGTAGATTTGTTGTTTCATAGAGGTAGACAAAAAAAGTGACTTTTCTCAGAACAACTTTTTGTGTACTGTGTATTTATATACTTACCAGACAAGCAACAAGTGTTTCTTTGTTCAATAATAAGAGGGAATACATTGAAAAAAAAATTGTATTACTATCATAAAGTTTATTTAAAAAAAAATTATATTTAAGGGGATCATCGTGTTACATTAGATGCATTTTTTGCTTGTTTTATTTTTTCAAAAGAGTTGTTCATTTAAATGGCATCAGATCTAAATAGATATAGTTTAAACCAAAAATTCATATTTAAAATTCAGTGTGCTCAAATTTTTCAACTTGTGGTCCTGAGGACTACATTTTAACTAAAGGGTTTGTACATAGGAGAATATTTAAAAATTTCTGTAAAATTACCAAGATAAAAGATTAATTAACCTAGTAAAAGAATCAGCTTGGTTTACTTGAATACAGGTTGGCAAAGAAAAAGACGATTTGACCCAGTTATACTGCCTCACAATATCATTGTTTCATCATTTATTTGATTCAGTTTTGATCTAGATTAACTTTATTCAAAACACTTATTTTTATCCTATTATTTTCTGTTATAAAATTACTTCCATATTATTTAAGATTTGTTAAAATATTGCTCATGTTTATTTTTAACTAGAAACAATAACCAATGGCTCTTTATATCATTTGGTAACCACATACTTTAAACTCTGTAAACTACCAATAGACTATTTTAATTTCAGAGTAACATATATTATAATGTGTATTTTACTTACTTGCCAAAAAAATTAAAAGTGAGATTGTAGCTTTATGTCTTCGTTAAAATTACATATTTCTAATGCTTTTGAATATACATAATAATATTTATTTATATGTTAAATTTTTGTATTGTCGATCATACAATGTAGATTGAATAATTGCTTTCAGTTATACTCAGAATTCAATGACATAGGTCATTTTTTTCAAAAAAGCTTAGGCATGAAAAGCTTTTCTCTGCTTATTGGTCCGACACTTTCAGATCTTGTATTAACATACACATACATGCGTCTATATAGCTTAATTTTGTTTTAATGAGTAGTAGTCAGTGGCACTTTTGAGCATGTCTGATATGAATTTCTTGTGTGACAGAGATACAAATAGTTAAACATGTATTTTAAAATCTCGGGTAAAAAAAAGGTTTTTACACTACAAGATAAATCCACAGACCTTAATTTTACACTACAAATCAAAAGTGTTAAGTATATAAAGAGGTGTAAATCAAAGAAGATTATCAAATTAAATTCTAAAGGCAATTTAATATTAGTTAAATAGTCCCTTTTAATTATACTTATATTTAGATAAACATATAATGGGGTGGTAAAAGGGAAATCAAGAAAAAACTAAAAGCTTTATTTTTTTGGTTCCATAAAATCATTCCAAATTATATGTTTATCTTTACAATGGTTATTACTCCTTTTCATTTGTATTTTATTTCTTTCTTTTTTTTTTATTATTTAAAGTTATTTCTAAAAAGTTCTGTTAGATAAATAAATAACAACTGGTGAAGGGGAGATAATCACTACATTTTTCACATTGTGGTTATGAATTGGGTTCCTTAGCTTTCAAACACAAACTTTCTACCATAAACCAAGGATTTGTATACTGGTAGTTATATAACTATACAAATCCTTGCATAAACCAAACAATGGAAGATTTATTATTTTTTTTCAATCGATGATATTGTTTCCCAAAATCAAAATGTGGATACTTGTAATTATAAATTAGTTAAATCGTCTTTGACTGGGGAGATACATAGGAATGCCAAATATATTTTTTTTTAAGGTCAAATTTTACATTTTTTGTCATTTTTTAAAGCCCTTTATTCATCAACTTGTTGTTACTGCTTGGTAGTGAAACCATAAGCTTTTGCCATTCAGTGGCATCTGTTGAATTTGTTTTTTCAATCAGTTGAAACTTAAATATTACAACTTGCCCTATTTTCAGTTTTACTCTGTTTGTTTTGTTCATCTTCATTATTATATATATGTAAAAATTTCATCATTATTGGAATCTAACATGTCTAAATATAGCTATGGAAATGTTTACCTTTAAAATATTGGTCTTAAATTGTCATTTTCATGATGACATCATCTGTTCCGTTGTATAAATGAGTTTAAATGTTCCATCTTATTCATTTTTGTATGCAAAATAAAGGTATACATGAATTAAAAATTTTTTTGTGTTAATAGTGGGGTTTTTATTAATATTGGTTTTTTTTTCCTTAAATGTTTGTGAAGTAAAAAACATGCAAGATCAATTACAGAATATTCTGAGTATGAAAGTTTTAGTAGAGCTTGATTAAATGTTGAAAAAGAAGAAATGTGAACATTTTCTGTACATTCCAATAATGAATATTTCTATTGAAATGGGAGCTCGAGGTAACTCTAAAATGGGAGATAACTTTTGATCCAAGTTTTTCAAGGGAAATGGAACTTGATGAAAGTGCTAAAAAATTATGAAAATTTCTAGTTGAGCTATATTAGAGTATACCTCAGCCTCACTGCAGCCTAAGTGAGAGAAAATTGAGAAATTTGGACTCAAAAATATAATTAAATATGTATTGTTTTTGGATTTACAACTGTCACTCAATGGTGATTGTTAGATGTTCTGATATGATCCCAATTTAATTTGTTCATTTATTTTTGTATAACCTGCATTGTTATATATCAGTATATCAACATTATTGTACATTTTCTTAGAATCTTATATACTGAATTATTTATTTTCTTAAGTGCTGCCAAAACTTGATGAATCATTCACTGACATATTCCAGTCAAAGATTTTATTTTTATAGTGTAGTGCTTATAATTTGAAAACAATTGTTGGCCAAATGGAGCTTTGTTTGAAAGTTAACTTTAAAGGGTTTAAATGCTAACATGTATTCTATATTGTTCATTAAATGAACTTTAGTTTCACATTAGTTTATTCCATTGCAAAAATTTCATTATTTTTTTCACACATGAATATATTTTGTATGAGCTAGCTTAATGTAATTTATATTAGCTGGCAGTTACTTTGAAGTTTTCCTTCAAGTGCCTTTCTTTGATATAGATAATAAACACATTTTTATTTATTTACTATAAATTAAAATATATTAGAGGGTTTAATTTCTGTATAGAAGGAGATGTTGGATATACACCAATATGGCATCAAAACAATGTTTGCAGTCAATATAGTTTTTTTTGTCAATATTCAGAATGTAAACTGCCATGTGACCTGCATATAAAGGGGAAAAAAATATTCAATTACTTGACAGTTGCTTGATTGAATGCAAGAGAAATGTGTGAACAGCTTTTTGATAGACAGTCGTTTAAAATCTGAAAAATAATTTAAATTATTTACAAAATTTTTAGTTCAGATATTTTATATTTGTAAAACTATTATTGTTTGTTATATTTTAATACTGTTATGCTCTATCAGTACTGTGCCTTAAATGATTTATATGAAGAATTATATTTTCAGTCTTTAAGTCTGTTGATAATAAAATACATTGTTCATTGAGTATATGACTTTTATTTTATCTTCTTTAGTGTTATAAAAGCTGTTGATGCTGGGGTTATGAGTTTGAACCCGGCTTATGGCAGGTGGGTTCATCTCTAATCTTAATTAACTAGAATTTCCTGATGAGTTCAATGGTTCTCTTTGGCCACTAACTTTTCTTCTTCTATCAAAAACTGGCTGCCATGAAATAGCCAAGAGTGTTTAAAGTGTGTTAAACCCCAACACACAATCAATCGATCAAGTCCATATCTCAGATACTATAAGCAATCGGTCTACTATATTTGGTGTAATCTGACCTTGACCTCATTTCAATGTAAATAACTCCTAAAAGTGGTCAAATGACAATTTCAGTTAAATTGACTTCTTTGTATATTTATTTTGCTGAACATTTTGCTTTCACAATTTCACTCAATTTTATATAGTTTCTGCAAAAAACATGAGTAAGATTAGTCTTTCGAGGGCAATAACTCCTATAAATGGTTAATTTATGCTTCAGCCATGAAGACTTGCTGGAAGATATTACTGTTTTGGTCATTCTTGCTATTCAAAATTTCTCGATATTTGTTAATGTTCTCAAGATACTAAATAAAAACTGGGAAATTTGCCAAAAAATTGCCATTTCAGGGGCAATGACTCCAAAATGGGTATTTTTTTATTTTGTGATTTTTGTGAAAGACTGTTTTAAATTAGCTTTTAATATAATAAATATATATCAAAGATAAGTGGTTAAAGAATAGGGATCTGAATTATTTTTTAATTTTTCTGATATTAGGGTAGGGGATGTTAAGCCCTGTCACATTTTGTATCTGCCTGTTCCAAGTCAAGATCCTTTAACTCAGTGGTAGTTGTTAGTTGCTGTCTGTCATAATCTTTTTTATTGTTTTAGAATAAGTGTCGTCATTGGTTTTCTCCTTTTAATTGTTTGACATTTTGTCATGATGAATCCTTTTATAGTTTACTACACACATGACATTTTGTGTCTGAAGTGCATGTATAGTTGTCTCGTTAGAAATCATACCACATCTAATTTTTATACTAAACAAATAATCTCATCATAAATACATGCTTACAATTTTGTTTGCAAGATGCGCGTTTCGTCTACAAAAGACTTGTCAGTTAGCTTGAATAAAAAAATTTAGGCAGGTAGTCTATTTCTGGTAGACAATCCCTATTTCATAATATTCCAAGTTTAGTAAACAGTTAATTTCTAATAATGACCATATCAATGATAATTCAATTCAATGTTCATCATTTATACTTGACATGCCACCAAATAAGATCTACAAATAAACTGATTGCAATATAGAAAAAAATATATCAAATTGGCATATTTTTTTACCAGGGAGCAATTCAAGCTCTTGGGAGCATCTTAATTAAATAATTTTACACAAAATACAATGAAGAGTACTACAATTCTTTGATTCTTTGCATTGTTGGATTCAGGCAGTGGTGCATCTGTCGAGTGCTGTCTAAGACTGGAAAAAAATTGTCATTTTTCAACATAAAACAAAGCAAAAATTTATTATTAGGGTCACTGTTACCTGTCACCTCAAATCCTGGATCTGTATCCATCCTCGTATTATGGGTTTTTGTGCTATCTAGAATGCATTGTGACGTCACAATTCCCATTGAAAATGCATGCATAGTATGAATTCATATGACGTACGAAAACATATGATCTGACGATACATTGATATACATTGTACTACACATGTTCATCATATACTATATTTCTCACAACAGGTAAACAAAGATGCTTCAATGAATGATGAAGAACCATCACCTTCAAAATCACGTCGATATGAAGAAGGAAGGGAACAGCAAGTTTGTCATCTGTCTCCTAATTTAATTGGACAACATGGTGGTGATCTCGCACATTTTCCTTGCAAATCAAAAATGCAGTATGGTCTTTTTGGTTTTATTGTTCAGGGCACCAGTGTAAGTGTTATTTGAAGTTGCAATGCACAGTAGAAATAATTTTAAATAAAGTATTGTATCTTCCTCATGCACAACTCTCATCTTTGTCCAGGTTTTGCTTTACTTTTGGCTCTTTTTGGTTTTCTATAAGTTTGTACTTTCAAATATTAAAAAAAAAATTGGTACCCCAAAAAATAAATGAATCCACATTATGCTAGGTGTATAAGTCACAGTCTTCCTATTATGAAGTTGTTGGAGATTAGTTTTTTTATAGCAGCAAAATCCTGTACTGTTTACTTCATAAACACTGGCAGCATGATTATCAGATGTTCTAAAAATCTAACTTGAATACTGTAAATTTAGAAACTTACATGTGGATCTATTATTGTGAATCATTGACCATTTGCAAAAAAAAAATTATGAAGGAATATCTGAATTATGAATACGAGTTGTTTTCACTGTGAACCTGATACTGTTGCATTTTTCGCATTAATAAAAACATTGCAATATCTTCTGAGTTTTTTTTTCTTCAGTAGTATAAAAAAAATCCTGCCCTTTTTACTTCATAACAGTTGAAACAAACTTAATAGGATTCTTTCGTTCAACTTGAAAGGCTTATTTCTTTCATGATCAGAATATTCCTGTCTTCAATTTGCTTTATGGTCAATTGCTTTGACAGCCTAATGGCTTCTTTCGATTTCTTAATCTTAAACATGGTGTGTTGATTGATTGATTGGTGTTTAATGCCACTTTCAGCAATATTGCGCCATTTCTTGCCGTCAGTTTTTGTTGATGGAGGAAGCTGGACTGCAAGGAGAGAACCACGACCTTCGGTAGGAAACTAACTTGTCGATTAAAATTATAGTCGAACATATCTGCCACATGCCGGATTTGAACTCACAACCTCATTCTTGACAGGCTAGTCAGATACAGTATTGTTATTGTCATATTATATTATTCATGGCCAAATACACAAAAGCTAACTTTTTTTTGTTACAAGCGGGTCAAAAAGCTTAACAAAGAAACTGTAATTATTTAAAGGGTGCATGGAAATTAAGTTTCCAAATTATCAATTAATATGTTGAGAAATGTATGTATTGTTTTAAGTTATCTCTGCATTATTTAATTGTTCTCTGTATTCTGTCATATTTGCCATACATGTATATACCTTGTTATTTTGCTAAAGCAATGTTGTTGCTAATGCAATTAAGATTTATTTATTCATTCATTCATTCATTCATTCAGTAGTTCGACTACTTAGATCACTTGGTCACTGAGGCCCTCCTAACACATTGTGTTTAAAACACATGTTTAAATATATTGATAATTTGGTTAATAAGACAGAAATTATTGATCTCTAAAATTTGAAATATTGTGTATTGTGACATAAGCAAAAATAAGTCAACTATGAAATGGTGAGTTGTTCATTTGTGGTAGAATTTTTGTAGATTTTCCATGTTTTAATCATGTGCAGCTCCAAGATTTCTAACAAACTGGGTGATCATAGCTAGGCAATTTTCTTACATTGTGGCCTGAATTGCCCCAGGAAATTATTGTAAATCAACATGACCAGCAGCACTGTTTGGATAAAAAAAAATTCAATTAAAAATGTATCATTATATCTGACAGTTTTATGAGAGATATTCATTAAATGGTGTTCATTTGTTTAAAATTTTGAATGTCATGTTTGTATTCATTTTTCAGATAACATTCACACATTTGGATTGTTCTGAGATTGAATTTGATCAAATAAAAAGAGGAGATCCTTCTTTTCCTGCAGGAACGGGACCTAAAATACGATTTAGTAAACCGTACAACTATCTTTAAGCAGCGGACAGGAGGCATATAATTCAGCCTTTGCTTAAACTTGGATTTATCAATCATATATCTAACAGTGTTTGCTGATAGTACTGAGAGTGAACAATATTTGGTATTACCTAAACGATACAAGTATCTAAGCATCTGACCGAAAGGGCTTTCGTAGATTTAGTCATCAACTTTGTAGATATCATCAATCACCCTCAGTCAGTTGTTATGCAATTTTCATATTGTCACATTTTCATTGAAATCATAGGTTGATTTTCAACCATATTTTACAGGATCAAAATATGATCATGATTTCATATTAATCAGATAAAAGTTAAATACATGACAGCCAGAGCCATTTTTAATTGTCCCCAATTTTTGAAATATCTATAACTACAAAGGAATTAGTTCTGAAACTTAGGACATAATTGGCTAATCGTACGTTTAAGAGCTGATTAAATCAAAACTTAATTGTGCAAACTATCTACAAGTTTAGCATGTCAAGAATGAGATGGATATTAAGTTTTTCTTGTGCAAATTACTTACTACTTTTGAGATGTAATATTAAGATCATTTACAACAAATTGTATTTATATTAGCAATGTAAACAACAGGTCCTAAATTCTACAATTTGTGCTATCAAAATCCTTTTTTCTAGATTAAAATTAGCGGAATTCAATGAAATTGTTAGATGGTAGCTTTAGCAATACAAAATCAGATTAAAACCAGGGACATTTCAACCTCCGGATTTTTGCTAGACTTATGTCTCACAGATATAAAGAATAATTTATTTTTTGACAGCCAAGGTTCCTCAAGATAGTGTTCAACAAACCTATAGGGAGACTGAGCTAAGTTTGCTGTTAATATACAACTCAAGTTGAGGCAAATGTCATTTATTAAAAATTGATCATTAATCGAGAATGACATATTAACAATATCAATAGTAGCAAATAAATGACAATGACATTAAAAAGCAAAGGTGGGGTTTAGAAAATGCCCCAACCAGTTTATACATTACAGTAACAAATAGTTAAACACTACTAATCTTGCGAAGCATCACATAACAAGTATTTCTAGATGAAATAATAATAACAGTAAGAAATTTAAAAAAAAGATTAAAACTGATTATTTAAATTGGGTGGAAGATGGGTGGCTTTTTGCAAAAAGTTACAAAATATTTTCTAAGTTTCAAATAAACGATGTTTCTTCTTTGAGCGAAATTAGCCGAATGACTGCATGTCCAAGCTCATGCAATAATCTGATCTTAATTGCCACTAC